GGGGGGAATCTCTCTCTCTCTCTCTCTCTCTCTCTCTCTCTCTCTCTCTCTCTCTCTCTCTCTCTCTCTCTCTCCCCACACACACACACACACACATTCAGACAAAAGAAAGGGGAAAAGAACGGAACCGAATGAAGGTGCATGGAGAGTTATGAGAAATAATAATAATAATAGGGGTAACTTCGGTAGAGTCACGAAAACGAGTTATAATAATTGCACTACGGGACAATATACAATTTGCAATTGCACTTCGGGCACCGTAAATGGCCCATAGTGCAAGTACAAGTCGTTTTTGCGACTCCCGCGTAATTTCCCCGTAATAATATAAGCATATACCGTCAGCTACCGAACAAAAAGTGCGTTTTCGGAAAAAGACTGCATGGAGAAGTTATGAGAACTAATAAATAATAATAATACAGGGAGAGACGAGAAACTCTGAAGCGAAACACGCCAGATTTTATGTTTTAGGTGCATCACGTATGCGCGGTTGCGCGGGATCCAGCCACACACATCCGCCAACTACTAGAAAACAAAAAGTGCACTTGCAGCATGAGGAACATACATAATGAATCTCATAAATCGGAAAAGAGACAGAGACAGAGAGGGACAAAGAGAGAGAGAGAGAGAGAGAGAGAGAGAGAGAGAGAGAGAGAGAGAGAGAGAGAGAGAAAGAGACAGCAAGAGAGCGAGAGAGGATTGGCCATAGTCACCACATTCTTCTCAGGATCGGAGATGCCATCATCGAAATAAGTAAAAACGTAATTTCCGCGAGAAAAAGAAAAGACAGAGAAAGAGAGACTGTCGTGAACGCAACTCCATTATTAATCCTCCACCAACGAGATACAGGACGCATACAACTTGCCAAATGCCCCTTGACCTGCTGGCCGACATCCGCCTCCCTCCCTCCCTCCTTCCCTCACCCCCTACTTCTTCAGATCCTCTCTTCCTTTCCCTCCCGAGACACATCGATGTCAATTCATAATTGGCATCAAAACTGAGATGATGGTTTTATAAAAAAAAGAAAAAAAAAACTATCATGATGCACATCGCATCGCCGCGCGAAGGTTAAGAAAAGAGCACGCACTCTCTTTAGAGCGTTATATATATTTCCTTCGACATCCTTACACTCTGCATTGTTCATCGATTCACTAATTTACTGATTGAAATTGATTGATTGATTGATTGATTGATGCTATTGATTGATTAATTGGTTAGTTGATTAATGGATTGATTGATTGATTGATGGACTGGCACAGAAATGACAGTCTCACAGAGGCTACAGTAGTCTGAACAGTAGTCTGATTGCAGTGACGTACCCAAAAAAAGTCCTACATAGTAGTGTTGTAAGTGACAGCGCCGCCGACCAATATGAAATAGCCGAAGCAGGTTCCTGCCAAAAACACATAACGCAGCTAACAAGGCAAGGCAAGTACGTATACAACTCTGAGAATCTCTAAACCTGGTCGTTCCCGTGTCTATTCTACCTATTTGCTTCGATGGCCGTTAGTGGTTGGCGGGCTCCTCGAGAAAGAAAAAGAGAGAGAATGCGCCGTTGCGTTACGGAGGGATGGATTGGATTAAGGAGGGGGAGGAACAAGGAAAGAAAAAAGGGAAAAAAAAAGACACAACATGCGAGACCGTAATGAACAGCTAAAGCCTCCACCAAATCACTAACTGATCGCAGTATTCCAAACGGAAACAAACGGAAAGAGAGAGAAGCGAAGAGACACGGAGACATGACGACGACAAAGAAAGAGCAGCGAGGATGAACGGAAGAGAGAGAGAGAGAGAGAGTGAAAAAAAAAAGGAGAGACGAGTAAAACACAAGGGGCGGCTACAGTTGAGAAGAGAGATCGCATTGGCAAGTTTTGTATTAAAGAAAAAAAATTCAGAGAAAACATGAAAATCGACCATCTTAGATCATCGACTACTACCTACCACCTCCTCTCTCCCACTCTCTCAACATGATGATGATCATCATGCTCATCATCTTCCTCATCGTCATCGTCGTCCCTCTCGTCATCGTCATCAGAGCAGTGTTCACTATCTTTTCTTCTTCCCGTAATCAGCAAGCCTTTCACTCGCTGTTCCACCCCCTTCCCCCCCGCCTGCCGCTGCTGCCGCTGCTGCTGCTGCTGCTGCCGCTTCGCTCTGACAACCTTCTCCTCCCTTTTCTCTCCCTTGTTCACCCTGATGATCTCCTCTTTTGCTGACGAGGCCATCGATCGCGGCACAGGGTTTAGCCACGGATGACACAGCGCCATCTCCGCCGTTGCGCGCCGTTCTGGAAGGAAATCCAGAAGCGGCAACAAGAAGTCTGTGACTCCTCTTGCGTCCTCCTCCGCGAAGTCGTACTTCTGCGTCAGAACTTCGTCTAATGGCCAGAATCTCAGCTTCTTTATATGTCGTAGTTCTCCGTGGCGATTGAAGAACGAACTCGCGTACTTGCCATTGGATGCAACTTTCCTCGGAATTCTTCCAAGGAGCTCAATCATCAGCGCCAGATGATCTTCGTCTCTCGAGAACCCGTCGCCGCTGTGGGGATCGAAGAGCACATCGCCAGTGCACAATTCAAACACGATACAAGCGAAGGACCAAACATCTACCGGGGTCGAATACTTGGCACCGAGCAAAACTTCGGGAGAGCGATACTGTCTAGTCTGTATATCGCTGCTAAATTGCTTGTAAGTCCAGCAAGCATTACCCAGATCTACGAGCTTGCAGGTCAAATCTATCGTGGAAGAACCCTCTCTAGTCGAGCGGCGTTCGAGAGGAGAGCAGGAGGACGACGACTTGTGGCTCCTGCTGTTGTTGACGGCTTGGAGTTTGCTGACGTTGTTATCAATCATGCCAGCGTCGGCAAGTAACAAACCCCCTCTCCTGTTTTCCTCCTCCTCATCATCATCGACCTCCTTGATCTCCACGTCAGCACCTCCACTATCGCCTCCTCCTTTTCCTCCTCCTACTACTACCCGAAATCCATCTTGTGCATGATTACACTGGAGGGAAGATAGAGGCGGAGAAGGTTGGGGGGGATACTTCTTGAGGAACTTCATCTGCTCCTCCTCCTTACTAACACGAACAGTCGCAACGATCTCCGCCCGTCCCGCGGCGAAATCCTGGTAATGAGCTGTTGTCATCTTGCCCCCTTCCCCTTCCGCCATCTGGACAATCACGCTGTCTCTTCCCGCCATCGCTGCCGCTAATTTTGCCTCTCTCTCTCCTTTCGCACTCGTCGCCATCACCGTCGTTTGGGAAAGAGGGGTAAGAACAGCTATGTTTGGGGATGATTCCCCATTCCTTCTTGTTCCCGTCGTCGAAGACGGCGGCGGCGGCGGCGGCGGCGGCGCCGTAGCATTATTAGGTTTCGAAACGACGCTATCTAAGGTCAGCAGTTCGAATCTCGTTTCGCCATCTAGACCGCCGCCGTCCATTACTTGTCGTTCCTGATCGGCGCACCCGTTCCTCCTCTCTCCCGCCGCCATCGGTCCTCCGTCTCCTCCCCCAGCCAACCCTCCTCCCCTTTCCTCGCATTTGCCACCCCCTGCCGCCGCCGTCGTCAAAATCTTATCATCAAGATCACCACCACCACCCCCCGTAACTTTTCCATCATCAGAGCCGCCGATCATCACCGCACCAGCCTTCTTCGCCTTCTTCTTTAGCTTCTTCTTCTGATTCCTCGTCAGCCCCTCTGTCCCTCCTACTACTACTCCTTTCCTTGTGGGGCTGTTTCTAGCCTCCCCCGCTCCTCCCGCCGCCGCCGTCGCTGCTGCTGCTGTGGCTCCCCCCTCCTCCATCACCGCCGCTTCCCAACTCGCCGTCCCCGTCTCATCCTCGCGCAACTCCCGGCCACCCTTCCCCATCGTCGTCGTCGTGGGCGTCGCGATTGGTTTTGTACTCTTTGAGCCGGCGGCGGCGGCGGCGGCAGTAGATGGCTCGATCGCCGCCGCTGATGACGTCATCACCTCCGCTGTTCGCTGATCGGTAAAACCCTGATCCTGCTGATTCTCTCGATCGTAATTAGCGTGCCTCAAACATGTCTTTCGCGGATCTTTCGAGGGGTCCAATGGGTGCACCAAGAGCACGTTCTCCGGCTTCAGGTCAGTGTGAATGATTGACAACTGTCGGTGCAAGTAGTCCAGCCCAATCAAGATTTGGCGGGAAAGCTCCTTCACCATCGGAATGGGCATGCCGCGGTAATTGTACCGCTTGATCAGAGTGAGCAAATTGTCACCCAGCAATTCGAAGACCATACACACGTGGTTTCCATTTGGCCCGCTGTGCTTGAACTGGTCCAGAAGGCGGACCACGTGGAACACGTCGCCGGGATCTCCGCGGACGATCTGTTCCAGCAGCGTTATCTCGTCCATGGCCGCTTCCGTGTAATGGGCCGCACTCTTCTGGACCTTCAGGGCCACGTGTCTCTTCGCCGTCACGTCCCAAGCCAGCCACACTGTCGAGAAATGACCCCATCCCAACTTTCGCTCCACGACGTAGCGACCCCAATTGTACACTTCCCCGATCTTAACAGGGTGGTAGCCGCCTCGTCGGTATCCCGACAGTCCTTCGTCCTCGGTCTCAGAGTAATCGCCCGCGCTGCTGGCGCCGCCATCGTCCTCATCTTGAGAACTTCGGTATTTGTAATTACCCGTAGTGTTCGAGGTGGTAGTAGTGGTACACGCGTCCCGTCCGGACTCTTTGGATGGGCATCCCGACTGATGGTACTGATGATGATGAGGAGGAGGAGGAGGAGGAGGGTGACCCGCTCCCGCCGCGGGAGCAATCCCCGCCAATCCGTTCGCAGGGCCCTGATTAAAGCAGCCACCGCTACTGGTAGTGCCGCTACCTCCGAATTTCCGAACGTCAACAAGTTTCGCAGACGCCGCCGCCATCCCGTTCTTCTTCCTCAACTTCCGCATTTGACCTTTGCTCGCCATAGCGTCTGATCTGTCTGGTCTGGCTGAAAAGCCACCTCCCCCACTTCCCCCCCACCCCGGGTCATTCCCTCTTCATACCCTTCATGCACCGCACCTGCAAACGTCCACCATAGCTAGCTAGCTTGTTCTCGTCAAACGCACGCACAGCCGTACACCATAGCTTCTCCCTTCTTGCGCTCTCTGTTCTTGCTATACCCTGACCTGCCGATGCCACCGGCTTCTTCGCCGCGCTATGCCCTTACGATCATCCTCCTCCTCCTCTTTCTCCCCCTCCTCCAATCATCTGCCCCCCTCGTCCTCCATCTAAACCACTCTCTGTATCTCGACACAACTTCGGAAGGCGTCTCGCTGCTCCCTGCGGCCATCCTTGATGCGCGACCTGGCTGCCATAGGCTGAGCTCGGGACTGGCGTTAGACAGTTACTGCACTGCACTGCCCTACGACCGGGGCGCCGAGCTCGGATGCTTGGGGCAAAGCGCGCTTGGCCCTGCACCGACCAGTCCCTGGTACGCACGGCGACCGCAACTGACAACAGCCCAGTCCAGCTGACTACCGGTAGGTGGCCCTCCCTGCTCCGCCAGGCGTCAGGCGGCGTTTCCCTACAACACACCAAAATTCAGAAAACTACCCGAGTTTCTTGACCATTGATTAATAGCATGGCAGGATCTACAGTCATAACAAGCCGTTACCCTCTCCTCTACGGTAACTTGCCTTCATCCTTCCAATTTTCCATCTCCGCAAAGCCCCTGCCGCTCAACCTCCCGCGCTCGTCTGCTCACCAATTCCTCTTCCGTTCGCCTCCTCTTCCCCCTGGCTAACAACAAGCGTGCAGGAGATATTCAAAAACGCTCGCCTTGTCTCCACACCCCTTGCCCCGCACTCCTCTTCCCCACCCTCAAACGCCAACTCCCAACCTGCCGTAAGGGTAGACAGGCAGTAGGATTCTAGACTCTCCAGCAAACATACCCTTCATATTCTGTACAGCCGTTTGCCTCTACCCACTTATCCCACCCTCCCCGTCCTCTGGAACAACTCACTGCCAACACAAACTCCAACAAAAGCTGCCTGGTAGCTGACCCACACCTTTCCTATATGATCAGTCCCCTATCCTTCCTCTGCCATTCATTATCAAAGACCTGAAAAAGGCGGAAGGAGACGAGCAAGAAAAAGATTGATAACCTGGATTAACCACGACGAGCGGAGAAGATAACGACAGGGATTGACAGCGGCAAGCGTTGGGACGCATCTGATGATCATTTGAGACTGAGAAAACCCGGTTCCGTCAAGGTGTGGATGTGGATGTGCAGTACCGAGCCCTGAAGGTAACGTTACGCTGGATGGTGAAGTAACCCACCGATGCCCGATCTGACGACCACACTACGCGGGAACCCCTCTGATCCGGCCCAGGGGATCCATCTGAGTCCGGGCCAGGGGATTTTTCTGAGTTAGGGCCAGGGGATCCTTCTGAGTCCGGGCAAGGCCCTGTTCGCAGCCCGTCAGGGGTGCGTTTTCCGCCCCTCAGGCATTTCCCCCCCGAGACATTTTCGTCGTCCTTCGTTATACCGGTCATTGATTCAGGCTGCGTTTTTCCCCCCTCAGACATTTCCCCCCCGAGACATTTTCATCGTCCTTCGTCATACCGGTCGTTGATTCGGGCCCGTTTGGTCGTTGGAAGGTTCAAAAAATGCAGGCAGGTGCACACACGACACTTTGGGGGGTGGTGGCAGTTTCTTTGAAGAATGCGGGACCGGTAGCTGCCCATGGGACCGCGCGCTGGGTTTTGGTCGAAACGGTGGCAAAGCAGCGGCAGCGTGGAAAAGTTTGCAGCCCGTCAGAGTTGCATTTTCCCCCCCTGAGACATTTCAACGTTGGTGGTCGTCGGGAGGGCGGGCATTTTCAGGTTTTGGGGCATTGCAAGGGCCAGCGCCACGTAGGACAGGTAGCTGCCCGTAGGAGGCCGAGGAGGCTGCGGTCCTTAAGTCTTTTTCAAAATTGAAACGGCGCGGGTCCACTTTTCTCGAAGAGCAGAGCACCTCGAATACAACGTGTACACTCGAATAAAACTCGTACACGTTGTATTCGAATGCAACGTGTACCGTTTCTATTCGGATTTCGAAAATTTAAAAAAACTCTTGTATTCCAACTTCTTTTTTTTTTTTTGAGCTCAGTGCCTGCCCTTGTGCTCCCCGCCACTAACATGCTGCATGCTGCATCTCTCTCTCTCTCTCTCTCTCTCTCTCTCTCTCTCTCTCTCTCTCTCTCTCTCTCTCTCAAACACACACGCACACACACACACACACACACACACACACACACACACATATGCTCACTCTTTACAATGTTTACTGGATCGCCATCATCCGGTGTTTTACCAGTTATTCCCCTTCCGATTAATATACTGGTACATACCCCGAAATATTAAGGAGAATTTAACCCCCCCCTTTTTTTTTCCCCCTTCCCCTATAATTTTTCTCAATAAGTAAATGAAAAATTAAACACTTATGAGGCTCGACTTTGTTGCAAAACAGCCTGCTGAAGAGACCTCAGGCAACTGGGCATGTACCTCCATGCTTTACCGCCAAAAAAAAAAATTAGGCCCTTACACTCACTCCTCCACCCCTTCGTTTTGTTCCTCCCTCTCTTCCCCCTTTTTTTTGCGGCCCAAGGCCGTCTTTCTGCTTTGTCCAACCGACGCTCAGTTCTCTATCGGTCCATATACTATTTATTTAGCCTTCCCGGGTATGATTACCCTCTCTCCATCTGCGACCGGGGGTGTATGCGAATGGCGGCGCTGGTTCATCATTGATTCCCGCTCAGCTATTCGTATTATCCTACCGCCGCTTTGTGAGGTTTCATGCGCTAGTTGATTTTACCTCGTAGTGCTCGTGTGGATTCCTGCGACTGTGCGTTGGCAGCTCTGTGGGCGGTTGTTCCTCGATTACGTGGCAATATTCGCACTAAGATTGGCGACTTCCTCCTTCCCCTCCTCCTAAGTGGACATGTCGGCAACCTCTTCTTCCTCCGCGACGATGGTAATGAATCCCGCTTCCATTTGCCCCTCCAGCCTCCCCCGTCCTCCTCCCCTTACTCCTCCATTCCCCTCCCTGGCCTTGTTGCCTCCTTCTCTTTGATATTTTCCTCTCTCATACTCCTCCCATCTCAGAACGATAACCAAGGGGTATCACTCCCCTGATGAGCCAGTTTGGCAGACGCTGGCGAAAAAGCTTTAGGGACTGTTCTGCCAACCCCCTTTCACTGGTTTCGTCGACACGTTGGGGTCGCTTTGCCGATTTGGGAGAATCATTCCTCTTCCTTCTTTCCTTTTTTTTTCTCCTCCTTTCCCCCTCCCCCTTCTGCCTCCATCTCCCCTCTCTTAATTGCTTTTTTCTTGCCCCCAATCATGTATGATGGATGTCTAACACGATGATCGCTCATTTGCTGTGTGTTGTTGCGTGCATGTTTGGCGTAGGAATTGCTGATGGATTCGTGTCTTCGGTAGGTGTTTTTAGTCGTCAAGCTTGCCATGGATTATTCATCCGTCTTCTTGGGAGGTTTCACGATCTTCGACATGTTACTGGCTACTCTGGCGTTTTTTGAATGCCTCGATTCCGTAGACCACCATCGGTCTTGTTGCTGTTCTCCCCCTTCTCTGAATTCCTCCGCTCCCCTCTTCGCACGCGGAAGGTGCTCAGCTTAATAACGGCACAACATGGGCTCCTTCCAGCGATCCTCTTCAGTCCTCTTTGCTATCCTTACTTGCATGCTGCTCTCCTCCTTCCTTGCCCTCCTGCTCCTAGCGCGTAATGCTTTCATTTCTTCCATACCCCTCCCCACTCCTCAGTGCCTCCCTGATTATTCTCCTGAGGTCGCCTGCCAACGCTTCTTGCACTTAGCGATAGTCTTTACCATCTTCGTTATCTTTTTGTCTTTCTCCCTCACCATGGTAGTGTTTTGGGATAATAATGGTGATCGGGTTAAAATTTACTCATTCTCTCCTCCCTATCATTAATAAGCTCTCGTTCGGGGTTTGTTGAATGAGGTCCTAGCGTGCTCTCCCCCAAACTCCCTTGCCGATGGTGCTTTTTCCTTCCTAACTGGGAATTAATGGCAGTTGTATTTGTCGTTACCTGTTGAGAGTTCAACTCGGTGGCTTTGCGCTCTTACGATGTCTTGGGGATTTGAGTTACTTCGTCTTTTCTTAAGGCATCTCTTGTTGAAAGGGTGAGGTGTTAGGATCCAGGATCTAATATTTTTATAGTTCGAGTTTCCATCGGCTGTTGCACTAGATCTTTCGATCCTATGACGCCGATGACAATCATTCCTTGCATTGTTATTCAGGACTGAAGTAATGATATTCGCGATGCTAATGACTTGGTTCCCCTTAATTTTTGTGAGTTACAGCAGTCTTTTTTATGCTCTCTCATTATGGTAGGCTTCGGTTATGAGCAATATTGTTGCAGGGTTGTTCGTGATTCATCTTTAATTCATTGTTATTCGTGTTGACGACTTAGGATGAAAGCTCCTCTTGGTCGTCCATAAGCGGATTCTTTTTCCGGACTCCAATTCCTAAAATACTCCTGCAGAAATAATGATCCATTTGTAATAATTTTCTAGTTCTTCCGTGGCACTCAGAATCTTTTACTTGTTGCTTTCTCGGACAATCCGACCTCTCTTCATATTCATCTGGCTCTCTGATCACGTGTGTCGCATAGCTCATTGGATTGAATATCACGTTTTCTCCATCATTCTTGATTCTTCTTCTATCTCTACCATTACCCATTCCCTCCCTGTTTCTTGTCCTTATCTATCCCTTTCCTTCTACTTTCTTAGTGTGCCTTTTTCCCATGTCGCTGTTCTGCCTCCTTCCTATAAATTATTATAGACTTTGAGATATCTTGTGCAAAGATTTGAAGAGGACATAGACGATTTTTGGGCATGGACTGATTACGACGTGGTTTGTTGGATATACGTCTAGTATTCGTGCGAATCATAATTTGTCCAGTACCTCTGCATTTGTTGTGATGTGTCTCTTTTTAAACTTAGCTTGCCTCGTCTCATGATGGGGTGGACTCATCTCACTATACACACATACACACGAATAGATAACTCCTTACGGTTTGCCATCGAGAGGGTCGACTCCCCCTCGTCAAGTCTGAGAAACCTATGACATCGCGATTAATGCGGATGTGGACAATTACTCTGGGAAAAATGATATCCATGACTAGTCCTGTCTCTCGTTTTTTTCCGCTGGTTCCTTTTCTTATATTCTTTGTTGTTCCGTATGTGCAGAAACCCTCCTTCACCCGGAACGGATGGTATGCGGATTTGGTGAGAAACGATCTCTCCTAGCTGGATGGCTTCAAAGTTCCTTCATGCCCTGCTCAAGCTCTCATCTCCGTGGCTGGTCCAAAGGTTATGGAGTTTGTTAGAGCTAACTCGGTCATTGTCCCTCCCCAATTCCCCCCGCTTATCTTTGTCCTTTCATTCAACGATTGGGCAGATATCTTGTGCT